GGAAAATCAGGCCCTGTGGTCTCAATGCCAATGTTCCTACAAAGTGTCTGCTTTATTTCTGTTGAATCTGATCTACGTTCATTAATCTGAAGTTTCATTATTCTCATTTTGCCCCTGATAAATACGCAGCGCCAAATGTAAAAGAAAATGGGGCGATGCCTTTTTGAGCAGCTGCTGAGGAGCTCCCACCCTTTCTTCAAGTAGAATATTGCAACCTAGTTGCTACTTATCTACAGCAGTTTGTCTTTAGATGCAGTCTTCCACTCTGCCTGGGAGAAACAAGTAAATAAAGCCCATATTTCAAGCTTGATTTACTCTGATACCTACTGTGAAAGATTATGACTCTTTAGGGAAATAAAGACAGGGTCAGGGAATTAGTGTACATAATGGTCATTTTGATAATGGGCCAACAGATGCAACTGGAAACATACTGTACACAATTAAGCATAATGCACTAATGACAGGTTAGAGTTTTTATCGCCTCTTTGCGATCGAGCAGCAAATCCAAGTTTAGCAGTAATAAAGAGTTTATTGGTGCTAAAGCCAAAGATTTTCTGACAGAGGAAAGATTTTTCCTTTCATAACAAGAGTATTAAATCCTTTGTTTACTAGGCTCTAGAAAAGAGATATGCAAAGTGGTTGTCAGATATTTCTTAGGAAAAAGCCAATTAAATGGTAATGGAGTGAAGGATGAGAATTACCATCTGACTTCAAACGTCTTCCCTTCCCCTGCTCTCACTTGCTCCCACCCTGGAGCAGCATTGTGCCCCCATGGGCAGCTCCTGTTCCAGAGAACTTCAGAATCTAGGATAAGGATACAAACCTCAGGATTTTTACTCATGGAAGTAGAGCGAGCTTGTCGTATCTTAACAATTCTGTGCTTTGTATTGCAGTCGTATGTTATCTGGAGGCTTAATTGAACGTGCAAACTGTGTACCTGAAACACAGACAGAAGTGAAACAGAATTATTTGTGCCAGCAAAGCTGACAGATTGCTGTGTCTTCTGTCCTTTTTAAGTCAGAAGCTGGGGAGGTCTCATCTAACAAAGAGGTGGAGGCTCTGCATAACTGTGCATTGGAGCTTTCTTCCTTAGCCGTGGTCTGAGTGCTCATGTGTGGTCAGTGCCAGTTGTGGTTTAGGATGCTGAGATCAGGACATTCGTACCCAGTGCGTGAAGTAAAAAGAACGAAACGTTTACTTCCGACTGAGAAATGAAATTTCTGTTTGGAGATATGCTTTAATAACGATGCTTCTATGGTTTGTAGTATGGCTTTCTGCAACAAATATTTTTTTAGCCAAGCAGTATTTGAATCAAAGCAAACTGAAGGCACCAGTTGTACTCATAAGTGTTCAAGTGTTTTCTTGCTTGTTCAGTGTTGAAATTCAAGCACAGAAGTCTTTCTAGTCTATTTGCTACAACACCTCTTCTCAAAAAGGTTAAGAAGAGGTGAAAAGGATGAAAAGGCACTTGCAGAGTTTTAAAAATCTCCCATGGAAAAAAGATCTTTCATATCACAAAAAAAGTCTCCTGTAGGTTGTTATGTGCATAAGGTGGAGGCTTAAGAGCAGACACATTTGCAGATGAACTGCTTTTACTAGCTTCTCTGAGACATGACATTTGTTCAGAAGATTAGCCAGGTTGTAATGTGTAGCATAATTGCACTGTGCGGATGTCCCAGAAGTGAAAACCTAATTGCTTGACAGGACTATAACTTTGTGGTACGCTCTCACCTTGTTAGGTCCTTTTCTGATGCAGTTCAAATGAAGTCTGGCCGCAGGTGTGCCTAATTTACCTCGCAACAGAACGTGTTGAGTTTAATTGCACAGTGGTTGTTAGGAAAAATTGGTGGGTGGAATATCAAGTGACTTACTGTACGCGGATGGCAGATGGGCGGTGAGAGGCATTGTGAGCTAAGTGTATAGGTGAGGTGAGTTAATAAAAGATGTAAATTTTATCTTAAAATAGTGAAGTCTTGTGGTAGGCAATACATTTTAATTAAGGTGGTAGCAGTCCTTTTCTAGCCATGTGAAAAAATTGGAGGAGAGAAGCATCACAAAGGTTTTTTTCCACATCAGTATTTTAGGAACAGATTGGTATGCCTAGGAAGACTATTCTGCAAGCCTGCATTTATTGCAAAGACAACACTTATGGATACAATACAAAGTGTAGCATGGAGAGGTAAATCTAGAAAGGCTTGCCTTTCTATTATAGAAACTGGGTTTGAGACACAGCCAAACTGAGCTCAAATCCAGCTGCTGATTTCTCAATGTGTGGCAGAGCTCTTACCACAAGTCTGCAAGCTTTGCTGAGAACTGTACCTGTTCTCTTCTGCAGGGATCATCCATTCCTGATTCTTGTTGGTCAGATGAGAAGAAAAATCAAGTCAGTTTTCTTTGCCTGAGCAGCATGAGAAATGCTCTGCCTGGGAACGTGATTTTTGACTTATGTTGTCTTCTCTGAAAATCTTGTCTCAGTGCCACCTGTGCTCCACAGATTTGCTGAAAACATGGATTGCAAAGAACAAAAAGGTCGTGGTATCAAGGGGTGCACAGAGCTGGGATGTGAATGCTGCTTGTGTTCACCCCAGTGCTGTGGCTTCAGTGCTTAGCTCAGTGCTCGGGTTCTTCATGGTAAAAACATCTAATTCCACCAAGTGTGCTTTGTTTTTCAACAAATAATTGAACAACTATGGGTTCCAGGTAATGATTAGTGAAGGAATGCTTAATGATCCTTTTTGGACAGGATGTGAGCTCTCTGTATAGAAACAATTCATCTTGAATGCTTCAAGTTAAGAAAAAAATCCACTAGGCATAATATTGAGCATTCTCCATGCACAGCTCGTTTAAGAATTCCAGAGCAATTCACAAACATTAGCTCAGAAAGCTTCACAGCACCCATCTGAGATCAGAAAAAAAAGCTGAGATGTTCCTTGTCAGCATGGCTGTGGCACTGGGAGCAGTGAGGCCAAAGGCTCTCATGGCGTGCGGTGGGCACAGGGTAGGGCAGACTCAGCATCAAAGCTGCCTCCTAACAGGTATGGGAGAAATACCAGATATGGAACAGAAATGCTGTTGTGCTCAGGCAGTCCTCAGTTGATGAGTCGGTCTCCGGAACTCGCAAACTCTAAAAAATAATAAACAACCCAAGGCAGATAAAATTAGAATGAAAATGTGGCTAACACAAATGTAGTTTTATGGGACGCTTGAAACTCTTGGTGGCATTCCTGCAATGGTGTGCAGAAAACCTGAGTGCAAGGGAACCTCCAAGAGAGGAGATTCTGTCAGCCACAATGGAATTCCAGCTCTCATTCAGCTGAACAGCTGGAAATCGTTTGCAGATTTCGGGATAGCTGAATTGATGGCACTGACTTATCTATGCTCAATAGAAATGAAGCTAGTCATCTCCCTTGTCTTGATATGGGAGATCACTCCTACAGCATTAGTAACCCATGTCGATATTAGGGTCCTTTTCAAGGTTTAACTTAAAAAGAAGAGCCATGACTGTAGGCAGCAGTTTGTAGGATGGGGCAGTCATTTGTGATGTTCCTGTCCAGACACCCCAAAGTTTTGCAGGACAGTGTGGTGTGGCACAACTGTTGGGAGATTTCTTCTCAACTCCAATAGGGCCGTATTGGGTACTGATGAAGGAAAGAATTTCTTGGCATACCTCCTGCCAGGAATATTATTTGCACATGAAAATTTCTGCAAAGTGTTTGTAGCTAAGATAGTCATTTGTACAGATCGGTGTGAATAAGTAATAATGGCTCGTAGACTAAATACAAAAGCTCTGCCTAACCTTGATATTCAAAATGAATAAAGTTGGACAGCACAAACTGATGGGGTGGTGCCTCTGAGAAACTCTGAATAAGGAGTCCTGAGCCTTTCTTGTTACTTGGTGCCAATAATGAGCCCGAAACCAAAACCCTTAGAGCTTTTAAATAATTACTATATGTGAAATCAGAACGCCATGAAAAGGGAAGAGGAGGTGCTAGGCTGTGGACATTCTCTGATGTCAGAAGAGGAATTAGAGACTTCCCGCAGCGTGGCTCAGCCCACCTGCACGCCTTAGCATGGAGACAAAATTGTTGCTTTCTTTTCAAAGTGATTTTTGAGAGTGACGAGTGAAGGAATGAGAGTGGAACCACCACCCCACAGCACGTACTCAGCAGCCTGTGCAGGAGTGCAGGGGGTCTGCACCCTTTCACGCTTTTCCCCTTCTCATAAGTGCTTGTTGTGCTCCCGTGAGGCAGTATTGCTACAGAATGGTTTGCTGGGAGATGCCTCAGTGGTACAGTTTAGTCCTAAATAATTGCTAATTGCCTCACAGCAAAAAATCAGCTGGATTTCTGTGCACAGGTAGAGTTACTTTTTACAGCTAAAGGCTGGCACAGCTTGGAGAGGTCGTAAAGCACGGTCTAATCCTCCACGTTCCTTACCTTTTAAAAAAACACGACTCAAACAGGGCCTTTCTTCGGGCCAGATCCATGGCTGAGCCTCACTGGAGTCAGCAGGATTGGACCAAGTCCCTTTGCATAGCTAGATCTGCCAAGCTAGAGGCAAAGCCAAGAGCTTTTTGGAAGACCGGTCCTTTGTTACCTTAGAATCTTTTGGGATAGAGGTCATTACTGCTAATGTAAGTTGTGAAAAAACAAAAAACATTAGAAAAAATAGAAACAAATTTTCATCTGATGTTAGTCACTGCCTTTGAAGTCAATGAATCATTGAAATCGACTTTCCCACACCAAGCTAAGATATGGCCCAGAGTCAATATACTTGTAGTTGTTGAAAAATTAAAAATATGAATTTGCCTTTCCCTGGCCATAATGTTCTGTTTGTGACAGAGGTCTAACTGTTTAAAATACATACATTGACCACTAAGAAAGTAGTAGTTTACTAGCTGTATTCTTTTATGTATAACTATCACAAGATTGTATTAAGCTTTTTAAAATTGGCTCTACAGTTTGATGAAACTAATAGATTTCAATTTTGTATTTCCATAGATTCTTTCTAAAGTTTTTCCTCAAGTGCAATCAGAACTGTTTGAAGAATGCAGGCAACCCACGAGACATGCGACGATTCCAGGTACAGATATCTCCTACAGATACCATATGGGATTTACTCGAAATTTCAAACTTCTTCAGCTCTTGTTTAATGAAGTTCTAGTGTCAGTCTTCTACTTAGTGTAGTTTCAATGCTATGTATCCAAAATGCTATGGCTATTTTATAAATTCCCCACTAATTTAAATGCTTGTTTCTGGGACCTGGCCAGTTCTGCAGTGGGCTGTTATGGATCATTGTGATGGGTACCTTCTGTGAAAGCACAGTTTTCAACACCTCTATTGTAGTATGAACTGAGACTTGTGGAGATTTTACATACGTAACCCATGTAAACAGCTGTTAGAAATTCAGCTGCTGAACTTGGTGAAGTCTGGATCTAGTTTTTCCTTTCATGTTTACAGCTTGTAAATCCAACAGCAGTAGTATCACACACATATTTTTATCTGAATTTTATTAGAAAATGCTTAATGCTTCACTTTCTCCTTACAGCTTTTGAATTATCTTGTGGTGAATGATAACACTACAGAAAGACATCTGATGTGGTGGACAAATTTCCTCAGTATTTAGGGTCACTTGAAATGCTTGCTAAGAACTATACATGTTTTGTTTCAAAAGGATTTCCAAAAGGTTCATATTTGAGACTAATAATAAGCTAGTATTGAGATGTTCAAAACTTTCCTAGTTATGAGAAGAATAACTTGTGGTTAAACTTGATAGCAAAACATGTGACATCTGTTTTCATGCACAGCCAACCAACCGGTGAAGCCAGAACACTTGAGCCAGCCAACAGAAAAGATCTGTAGCTGGAAAAAATATTTCTTCAGAACAATTGAGCCAAGCTTCCATTTTTCATGCATCTCAGCTTCACGTGGCATTGGTGATATTGATCCATCTGAACAGAACAGAAGGTCAAACCTGGAATGAGTGGAAATGCCCTCTTTGTCTCACCGATGACTAAATGAAGCATCAGTCATGAGTGATCTTGTGGTCGACAATGGAACCAGTAGACACTAGAAAGACTTTCCTGGGTCTCTTTAGCTAATCTCCCTGCCTCTCAGAAGGTTTAACTGGACTTAACAGTTTGTCAGATCTTGAACAAAATTTTTAACTGGTTTCACTGTCTCAGCACCTTTTTAGGTGTGTTGCAGGAAGAAGCCAATATAACAAAACACAGCATGTCTACTTTCTTTTGCTGAACTACAGTATTTTTCCCTTGGTGACTGACCTATATATACATGACAGAACAAAAATAGTTGTCATTTTTATATACACCTTTCCCTGTCTTCTTAATATACTGCGTTCTAGGAAACAAATCCAGAAGTCTTTGCCGAAATTCACACCTGTATGTTTTGCACTATTTTTTAAAGTCTGCAAATCTCATTACCAGTGAAAGCTGATAGCCCAGTGGCATGGCGGCAGCTCTGCGCTTCGGTGAGTGTGCAACCTCAGCACTCTCCAAAGTGGATGTCGACAGGAGGGAAAGTGTCCACTTCTGGGACGAGAAAGATAGGGGAGCAGAGCAGACTGGCAGAGAGCTGCCCTCGGGCTGTTCGAAAGGAGAACGCAGATGGCTGTCTCAGAGGAGGCAGAGTACACAGAAAAGGTGCTGTGATAGCTGAAAGCTAATTATGGGTTGTGAATAAGAAGCAGGATCAGAGGTGATCCAAAACGCAGAAACAGATAAGAATTGTCTTCTGATGCCTGAGACTAGTGCCGTGGAAATGGAGAATAGTTTTTTTTCCCCTCTTTTTTTGCTCATTATGTGCTTGGGTATGGGAGCTGGTGTGAGAACCTTGAAAATCATTTTTGCTATGTCCAAAAGTAAAATAAGCAGAAGACAAAAGCTAAAATTTGTACTAGCCTTTGCCACCATCTCCCATGCTGTTGGTACGGCCTAACACAGCCTCACACAGCCACTGCCCACGAGAACTCTACTAATGCTAAGCCGCAAAGAAAAAGCTACTGTGATTATTGCATTTAGCAAATCTGGAACCCGCACCATAGGGCCCATGCTGGAGCATTTAAATAAGATGTAAAAGTCTATCTGGGATAATAACAACCAACCTGTGAAGCTACGTCACACGCAACACACGCATGTCTCACAATTTCCTCTTTGGCTCGTGGTGGTGAAATATCATTTCCAGAATGAGTTTCACAAACCCATTGTGTAGGTGTTTTTATCGGGAAGGTTGTGTGTTTTGCATATGTTCCTCTTCCATTTTCTACTGAGAAGCAGCTGGAAGCCAAAGAAGGCCCTATCCATCATCTCTTCTATGGCCGGACTCTGAACCTGGGCACAAGAATAGGAGCCTTTCACTCAAAAATAAAGGAGGAAATTCCATTGACATACCAGGGTCAATCACCATCCAAATGAACTTGAGAAGGGATACTTTTCATGGATTGAAAACACTTTCACTATTCATATTCAACTCAGTCTTTTCAGATGCAAAAAAGTTCATTATCAGACATTAAATGTAATTGTAAAACTGACCTGGAGATCATTTACTGAAGAAAAAATGGGGAGTTACGATGGTTCCTGATTTATTAAGCTTTTTTTATTTGGAATCCTCACAACCCTTCATTTGAAGACAGTCTCAAGTGAACAAATTTTAATTAGATAAACTATCTAATCAATATATCAACAGATCAATCAAAACAGCAGCTTTTAAAATGAGTGGCTAGAGGGGTGTTTCTGAAACTAATGGCTAGAAGAATATTTCCCTGAATTGAATTCATTTGTTAGCATAATAGGAGATTAAACTCTAATTAGTGTAGCAGGTTCTGAAGAGAAACAATTGTGAGCTAAAAATCACCAATGTTAGCCACATAAACAAAGATGTATTCATAGTTGTCATTCACTTTGCTTCAAGTGAGAAGTAACAGATTGCGATGTTGTTTTGTCTCAGAAGATCTATTAATATATCCGAGTTCCTGAAAATATGCAGACTTCTTAAATTCCTTTTTTTTCTTCCTTTTTAGGTTGTTGTATCAACAACAGTCAATGTGGATGGCCACGTTCTGGCTGTCTCAGACAACATGTTTGTACACAACAATTCCAAACATGGAAGGCGGGCTCGCCGCCTTGACCCCTCAGAAGGTACGGCTCCTTCTTATCTGGAAAATGGTAGGCACACATTTACATGTCTTTTTTTTTATTTGCAATGCTTTTTTTTTTTTTAATGCACTTTTTTTTTTTTTTGCACCATACTTTATGTTGATACACCATTACATTTATTTTTCCAGAATTTCTTCTTTCATCAATCAAACCATTCATTAAAAAGTCCATTAGTATTTCTCAGCCCCTCTCAACCAGAATACGGTCACTTCTGAATCTGCTTCTGACTCCTTTCTTTATTTAATACTTGCAGTTTTGCAGTCACAACCAATTTTTCTTTTTTTTCTTTTTTTTCTGGTTTTTTTTTTTTTTTTTTTTTTTTTTTTTTTGTCTGGTTTTGCTTGCAGCTTTTTCTTGCTATTTAATTTGACTTGATTTTATTTTGGCTTGTCATATTCCTTGATCCAGAGGTACAGTCTCAGGTTATGTATGCAAGTTTAAGTGCATGGTAAAAACATGACCAAATCTGCAAAGAATTTACTGTGAGGTCAATTTCCTGTTGCTGGGCCTTACTGCTGCAGATTACAGCAGTGGCGTTTTTGTATGAGAAAAACAGCATAAAATGTTTTTCTTCAGACTGACTCAGTGTGATTGACTTCTTGCCTGGACTGCTCAAAGAAGATAGGCTGAGATGAAGAAGAGATTGGGAAGTGTCTCTGAAAATCCAGTGTCTTTCTGGAGCCCACCTGCCTCTGAGCCACTCACACACCGTTGCAGCGGCGCTTGTGCGCTAGCACTCGTATCTCCGTGTACTTCCCCAGAAGTACAAAATAGCTGTTTAGATTCAGATATTGGTTCTCACTGCAAAGTACATCAGTGTATAGATACAAAACAGCTCTGAGGTGCTCTGGTTTTCATTAAAGTGAAATGCGTAGAGGTCAAATGCATTCTGAGTTCTCAAGGAGTTAGAATGGCCAGAGCCACTGGCACCGGAGCGCCCTGAGCGTGGCCACCCTGGGCATCCATTGCCACAGGGCTCCTCGTGTGAGCTGCTACTACCAAATTGATGGGATCGTGGCTTTTTACACTAATAAAATTAATTAAAGTAATAACGGAACGCTAAGCTGCTAATACAATCATTGCCATTTTATGTTTCAAATGATACTTACCAATGGGCATACAGAAAAAATGAATGTGGCAAGCAATGATTGCCAGAACGAAATACAATCTAGACATCAAAAAAAGGAAAACAATTTGTGAATCTGCTGCAGTCCACACACACACAACTAATTTGTTTTTCTGCATTAATAACTAAGGTATAAGAGAACAAAAATATAATAATTAAAGGTCGCCCTGAGCACAAGAGTCATTATGGTCTATGACGTATTGTTTATCTCTTTCATATGCACTGAAAGTAGGTGTGTGTTTTGCCTAGCAACCGTCACTAATGAGGTTCACAATTAAGAAGGTTGAATCCTTTCCTCTAGTCCTCCCCTTCCCTAGAGAGAGAGAACTAGCAACATTATAGGTTCAAGTAGGCATGCTCAGCCCTGTGGTGTTAGGTTTTAGTCTGGGTCCAAATTCATCCTCTTCTAATGAGCTATTATGATCTTTGCAAAATACAAGTATTTATTTTGGTAAGCTGTATAAGAAAGAATTTGACTCTAAGCAGAAAATATCGCTTAGAAAAATAAAGGCCGCTTGTACATACTGCAGAAAATCCACACAAATTTCTCCAACCGGTGGCTCCTTTTTGAGAAATGGTAATTGATTTGCTTTATTTAAATGTTACAAATGCAGCGCCAAATCCTCTCTGCCTAACCTCTCATAGACACTCATTCGTGCAAGCTGGACCGTTAAAAATGAACGTGAAAATCTGAGCACTCC